TTCGCCCGCTTCTCCAACTCCTGCTTCCTCCCCGGCGACGAGTCCTCTCGGTGTCACATGTGTCTTGGTGGTATCGCTAAGTTTGCTCGCGATTCTCTTCCGCTAGCCTCCACTTCAAAGAGAGATTGCCAGACCTCTAGGTGAATGGTCTAAATTTTAAACGTGTGGCTTTAGTAGTAGCTAGTTGCATTATCTATTTTCTTTGGATATCTTTTGCAAGACTTTTGTAATCCTCAAGTGTAATCAATACCGTTAACTTAATCTATCACAAATTTTCTTAAATCCAACTTGAGTAAGCTAGATTTTATCGTTAACATTGCATAGTTAAACTCTCATTAATATCAAACGTGCAATTCATGTTATCCCATATATGTTTCACATCATTTTTGATATCAGAGCATGGCTAGCATAGGCTATACATGCTAGATTTCATCCTAGGGAGCTACTTTATCTCTTATTCATCATCGCATGCAAGACAGCGCATATTTCATTTAATTCCATGTTGTAGTCTGCTGTCCTTTCATTTCTTGCATCATTTAGAGGATTTCTAGTGAGTTTAACTTAGTTGTAATTGCTGTCCTCACCCTAGAAGTTAACCTAAATGCTTGGACAACTTCTCCCATTGCTGTAATCTGCTGTCCACTCAGAAACTGCACTTGTTAGAGACATTTAAGTGAACCGATAGCTGTCCTAGTTGCTGTCCACACTTCACATCCAACCCTAAACACTTTATACAACGTGCCACCTTGTGTTAGGTTGCTGTCCCTAGTATTCCAGCAGTATTTAGGAGCTTTGGGAGCCTTCTAACATAGCGTATAGGTGCTGTCCACCACCCCGACACCTTGACTAGCCAACCCCGACCCTAACCAATGGACCCGGAACACTTGCAAGCGACGTTAGACCTCATAGTTGGACAACTGGGTTCGGTTACGCAGCAGATCCGCAACACCCAGACTGATTTAGCTGACTTTAGACGCCATACGAGTGACCGACTAGATAATATCGAGCGCATGAGAAACCCTGCTATCTACACACCTTCGAGACCTCACTCACCTTATGGCGAGGACAACATACCCGATCATGACCAACCTCGAGATCCCGGACATTTCAAGACCATTACCGACATAACCCGAGACCCCATCAAGAGCCCATAGGAAACGAGAACCCTTGGAGAGACAACGACGCTCAATTACTGAAGAACATTAGGATTGACACCCCGACATACGACGGGACTCTTGACCCTCAAGTTTTCCTGGATTGGCTCAAATCGATGGATAGCTACTTTAAATGGTACAACATTTCTGAAGCTAGGAAAGTCAGGTTCGCTGAAATGAAGCTCACTGGTCGAGCCAACCTGTACTGGACCAACTTGGAAAACATGCGTGAATCTCGAGGTGAACACCCTATAAACGATTGGAGAACCATGAAACAAGAACTTAGGAGAAAATACCTACCGCCATCGTACTATCCTAAACTCCTAGACAAGTGGAATAGACTTACCCAAGGAAGCAAGCCTGTTAAGGACTACATCTCTGCCTTCGAAGACTTCCTGATTCGTTGCAACGGCGAGGAGTCCGCCACCCCAACTCAAATCCTATCCATGTTTAGAGCTGGCCTTAGGGAAGATCTGCGAACTGAACTCTTCGCTAGTGGAATTGACACTTTAAAAGCAGCGTGCAGCCTAGTACTTGACCTAGAGGAGTCCAAAACCCACTCCCACACTAAACAGTTTGACTCTCGACCTAACCCATATCATACTTCCACCAGCCAGCCCCAACACAGACCCACGAACTCGATAGGTAGTCGACCCACTGCTAGCACAGCCCCACCTCGTCCGGACTCTAAAGGTAAAGCCCCCGAACGCGACGCGCCCAAAGCCAATTCCAGAACCAAATGTTATAGGTGTCATGGGTACGGACACATTGCTTCACAATGTTCCAGTCCCTATAAGGTTACCATCATAGAAGAGGTTGACGACGACGAGGAAGAGCCTGATACTGACTTAATTCATCATGTTGACGAAGAAGAGGAATTTTTCACTGAGGATGAACCTGTCACCCTGCAAGTCGTTAGATGCGCTTTATCCCAACCAAAACCAAGTGATGATCGGAGAAGAACGTCCATCTTCCATACCTTTACTAGAATTGGAGATAAGAACTGTAAGGTTATTATCGATAGTGGAAGCTGCATCAACGCTGTCTCCTCAGCAATGATCTCTAAGCTTAACATTAAATCTACACCTCACCCAAATCCGTATAAGGTTGCCTGGATTAACTCAACCTCTATGGAAATAAAAGATAGGAGCCTTATCCCGCTTGAATTTAATAAATATCAAGAGAAGATTTGGTGTGATGTACTAACGATGGATGTGGGCCAAATTATTCTTGGTCGCCCCTGGCTTTTTGACAACGACGTTCATATTTATGGGAGGACGAACACCTACGTGTTTGAATACAACGGAAAGAAGATTAAACTGATTCCCTCTCAGCCCAAATCCGACAAGGGTGAACTTAAAACTGCTCCACCTAAAACCAATAAGGGCCTACACCTTGTGACGGCGAAAGAACTGGATATAGAATTTAACCAAGGATCCCCTATGTATGCCCTAGTGGCTAGGGAAGTTAATGAGAATCAAGGGGAGCCTGTCCTTGAAGAGGTTAAGCCTCTTTTAGAAGCTTTCGCTGATGTCTTTCCGGAAGATTTACCCGACCAACTCCCACCCCTTAGAGATATCCAACATGCGATTGACCTAGTGCCTGGAGCTTCCCTACCAAACCTCCCTCACTACCGGATGAACCCAACGGAGCACACAGAACTGAAAAGGCAAGTAGATGAACTCCTGCAACGCAGATTTATCAAAGAGAGCCTTAGCCCGTGTGCAGTCCTTGCCCTCTTAACTCCAAAGAAGGACGATTCTTGGAGGATGTGTGTTGATAGCCGTGCTATCAACAAGATTATTGTGAAATATCGATTCCCGATCCCGCGACTAGACGACATGTTAGACATGATGACTGGAGCAACCCTGTTCTCTAAAGTTGATCTGCGGATACCATCAGATCAGAATTCGCCGGGGTGATGAATGGAAAACGGCCTTTAAAACAAAAGACGGGTTGTATGAATGGATGGTTATGCCCTTTGGTCTTAGTAACGCTCCTAGTACATTCATGCGGATTATGACCCAAGTCCTTTGACCTTTCCTTGGAAAGTTCGTGGTCGTCTACTTCGATGATATATTGATCTATAGTAAATCGTCTGACCAACATTTGGAACACTTGAAGCAGGTCTATGAGATTTTGAGGAAAGAACAGTTGTATGCAAACCCTCAGAAATGTGTGTTTCTTACTGATAGTGTTACCTTTCTTGGATTCATAATTTCATCTCGAGGAATTTCAGCCGACCCCGAGAAAGTCAAAGCAATTAATGAGTGGCATGAACCTAGAAATATCAGAGATGTTCGAAGTTTTCACGGATTGGCCACATTCTATAGGAGGTTTATTAGAAACTTTAGCACTATAGTGGCCCCCATAACCGACTGCCTCAAGAAAGGAGAATTCCACTGGACTTTAGCTGCTACTAAGGCTTTCGAGGATATTAAAAGAAAAATGGTTGAATCCCCTGTTATGCGTCTCCCTGATTTTTCTAAATTCTTTGAAGTTACATGCGACGCATCAGGAATTGGTATAGGAGGAGTTTTATCTCAAGGACATCCTGTGGCGTATTTTAGCGAGAAATTAAATGACATTCGTCAAAGGTACTCCACCTACGATAAGGAGTTTTATGCGATCATTCAATCCCTTAGGTATTGGAGACACTACTTGCTTCCCCATGAGTTTGTAATATTTTCGGATCATGAAGCCTTGCGATACATTAACTCCCAGAAGAAGTTAAATGCGCGACATGGTCGTTGGGTCGAATTCCTCCAAGAATATTCTTATACTATTAGGCACAAGGCCGGAGCTGAGAATAAAGAAGCTGATGCCTTGAGTCGTAGAATGATGATCACTCGAGAGATGAGAACGGAGATTGTGGGATTTGAACGCATCAAGGATGATTATAAAGAGTGCCTTGATTTTAAGGAAACATACTCCTTACTGACGACTGGAGATAAACAAGTTGTGGATGATTTCTTGTTGGAAAATGGATACTTGTTCAAGTCTCAAAAGTTGTGTATTCCCAACACCTCACTTCGGGAATTTCTTGTGTGGGAACTACACGCGGGAGGCTTAGCTGGACATTTTGGGCAGGCTAAGACCATTGCGGCGGTCGAATATAGATTCTTCTGGCCTAGCCTTAAGCGAGACGTTAGTAGACTGATCAAACGTTGCCACACATGCCAACTAGCTAAACAGAGAAAGCAGAACATGGGCCTCTACATCCCACTTCCCGTCCCGAACTGCCCGTGGCAAAACGTTAGTATGGACTTTGTTCTAGGGCTACCCAAAACTGCCAGGAAGCACGATTCTATCTGCGTAGTAGTAGATCGCTTCTCTAAGATGACCCATTTCCTCCCATGTGCTAAGACGTTCGATGCCTCCAGGATTGCCAAACTATACTTTGATGAGATCGTCCGACTCCATGGGCTCCCAAAAATAATTGTGCAGATCGAGAAGTGAAATTTACAAGCTATTTCTGGAAAACCTTATGGATTAAGATGGGTACTAAGTTGCAGTTCTCCACCGCCTTTCACCCACAAACGGATGGTCAAACGGAAGTTGTTAATAGGAGTCTTGGGAACCTTCTTAGAACCTTAGTCGGTGAACACATTAGGGACTGGGATTCCAAACTACCCATTGCTGAATTTGCCTACAATAATTCTGTCAACCGAACCACCGGTATGAGCCCAGCTGAGATTGTTTATGGATACCAACCTAGGCAACCAATAGATTTACTCCCCATGAGTCCTAAGTTTAGAGTGTCTGAGTCTGCATATGCATTTGCATCACATTTACATGAATTGCACAAAGAAATTAATGAAAGAATTAAACAGAGCAATGCTAGCTATAAACTTAATGCAGACCTCAAGAAAAGATTTAAAGAATTTGAAGTGGGAGATTATGTTATGGTTCGAATTCGTCCGGAGCGGTTCCCACTAGGAACCGTTAAGAAATTACACGCGAGGAGCGTGGGGCCTTTCAAAATAATTTTCAAAATTAACAGTAATGCTTATGTGCTAGACCTTCCCGAAGGTTTTAACTTTAGCCCCACTTTTAACGTTGAAGACCTTGTAACATATGAGGGACCCGAGTTTAATCCTACCAATCCATTACATGATGAGCCTTGTGAGTCCCCACCTGGTGAGATCCCCAGCCTACCCCCACTTTACCTACCGCGGAGAGGATTGAAGCGATACTTAGCGATGAAATAATTTCCACTAAGGACGGTGGTCGCCGAAGGTATCTGGTTCAGGAAAGTCGGAGACAGAAAACGTGTGGATCGACCGAGATTAGCTACAGAGATTGGATCCGAACCTACTGGAGTGGTACGAGACTTCTAGAGACACTGACTCGACGGGGTCGAGTTTTCTCCCACTTGGGGAGAATGATGGGGGCATCAGATTTCGACACGTGTACCATCGCCGAAGTCAAAGATCGACGGCGACGATTCAGAGCCTCTACTTCTGATTTATGTGCATTTTATTTTTATGAATGTATTTTCTGTTTTACTAGTTCGCCCCTGTGGGCATTGAGTCGTTTATGTAGCCTGGAAGGGAATTTGTGTCTTTTTTTTCTTTTCTTTTCTTTTCGGCCTATTTATATGAGGCCTTATGCATTGTATTGGATTATTATTTTGGATGAATGAAATTTCTTTTTTGATGTTCTCTTTGTGAGTGCATGAAGATCTCTTGGTGATTTCTTCCTTGAGATCTCTTAGTGAGTTCTCTAAGTAATTGTTAACCCTAGCATTTCTTTTCATCCATTTACTTTTCTCCCTCCCACAAGAAAGCTCCACATAAATTTCCCCATAGCTCCTACCACCGGCCCCCTAGGGCTTCCCGCCACCGGCCAAGCTCACAACCTCCGGCCGCCCACCTTCCCGACGCCCCTTCCCATCCGGTCAATCCTTTTCTCCATCCATTTCAAATTTGAAATTTGAAATTCAGATTTTGAATTATTTCCTAATTTGGAAATCCAAATTAGGAAAGTTTTCATGATTAAACCAATTTCAAATTAATCTAATTTGGAGTTTTTTAAATCCCTTGCCACGTCATCAAAGCAAGTTGGAAACTCCTTTTTCTCTTCCCACAAATCCCTCTCTCTCTCTCTAGCCATCCCGCCGGCCCCCTTTTTTTTTTTTGCTCCCATTAAGGAGGCAATTAAATCCTCCTCCCTAATTTGAAATCCTAATTTGATTTCAAATAAAATTTTCCCCATTATACTAAATCCTAATTTGAATTTCAATTTTATTTCCCTCTCCCTTCCCTCTCTCCACTGCCGGCCCCCTATTGGTTCTCCCATTAAGTGGGCATTAACTCTCCTTTAATTTGGGATTTCAAATTTAAATCTCAAAAAATTTCCCTCCTATTTTTCCCTAAACTGAAATCAATTTCAGCTCTCAAACAAAACCCTCCTCCCCTCACCCTTGCTCTACCGCCGGCCTCCCCTCCTCTCCAAACCGACCCTCTCTCCTCTCTTGGCATCTTGAAGGATTGTTCGCCTCCTCATACATGGTGTATGGCGGATCCCGCCCTTGATTACGGAATCGAACTTGACATCTACGGCCACATTCACGTTCTTAGATCGTCGTTCTTTGACGTGGGATTTGGGTTCGACGACAACGTGGAAGACTACTTGAATCGGATCCTCCCCACCCTTGTAGACGCCATTGACGAACAGCTTTCAGATTACGAGTGGATCATCCAAGGTCGTTCGCCCGCTTCTCCAACTCCTGCTTCCTCCCTGGTGACGAGTCCTCTCGGTGTCACATGTGTCTTCGTGGTATCGCTAAGTTTGCTCGCGATTCTCTTCCGCTAGCCTCCACTTCAAAGAGAGATTGCCGGACCTCTGGGTGAATGGTCTAAATTTTAAACGTGTGACTTTAGTAGTAGCTAGTTGCATTATCTATTTTCTTTGGATATCTTTTGCAAGACTTTTGTAATCCTCAAGTGTAATCAATACCGTTAACTTAATCTATCACGAATTTTCTTAAATCCAACTTGAGTAAGCTAGATTTTATCGTTAACATTGCATAGTTAAACTCTCATTAATATCTAACGTGCAATTCATGTTATCCCATATATGTTTCACATCACTTAGTGGCGTCTAAACTGTTGTGAGTGGACGAGTCTGGCTTGTAATTAACTAATCGAGAACTATGAGAGACTTCTAGATTGAGGGTGAGTAACATGAATGAATTTTTCTAGCGAGAACTTCCAATCAACAAGTAAAATACTCTTGACGAGTTGTCGAGTTCATCGGGGAAATAAAATTAGCGAGTAAGTGACTTTTTGAGTCCCTTGGATGAGTTAAGTAGTTCATTATAGAGGCTGAGTTAGGATTGGTTCTTTGGCGACTAGATGAGATTTAGCTATAGGGAACTTGATGTTCTTTTAGAGGTTGGCTAGTTTTAAATTGCAGACAGTTCAAGCAGGTTTACAATCAATGATTTGTCGAAGACTCTATTAAGTTAACCTAGGCGAATATGAGCGTACAAGTAGTAAAGAACAAAGATTTCACTTCTTCAATATGACATCCTTTCCTGGTGACTCTACCGATTATCTCAGTTTAAAATACATATCCTTTACTGACTACAAAACTCAAGATACCTTCAAGAACAGATTTCTTATAAAGCCTGAAAGGGATTAATTGAAACCTATAAATTGGAAATCAAATAGAAACTTGCAATTCTTCCTACTCAAAGGACATTGAAATGATCCTGTCAGATCTGAGACACCAGGCCATAAAACATTTTGTAGCAATATAGTTGCTCCCCTACTTGTCAATTTGTGCTTAAGATTCCATCTATAAACGCCACCACTTTTATCATAACGAGTACCAGTACCTTCAAGAACAGTTTTCCAATAACGCTTGTAAAGGATTAATTGTAAGATAAACATTGGAAATCAAATAGAAACTTATA